ACTGCCATGGGTCAAGCAACCAGGGTTGTAACTTTCAGACACTAAAATGTTTGGAATAGTCTGGAAGTCTGGAAAAAAGTTTACTTGTAGAAATGAAGCAGTCTTGCTGAGGGGACTTGCTTGCTCTGCAACATGTGAGTAACAGCTGCTGAAAGATGAAGGATGGGAAGGAACTACCATTCAGGGGGCAGACCCATAGCTGCCTTAGGGATATGCCAGAGTTCTGATTGGGAGAGCTGCTGTTACAGTGTTGGGAATCACACTTTTCAAGGCCACGTAGACCTGCTGTACTAAGGCCGGAGTAGATCCACATCTTGGGGGTAACCCAGTAGGCTACAGTATGTGGTTGTGCATGACAATCCTGAACTACAGTATGATGAGGTAGGGATTTGGGTACCTCTGGTCCAGGAGGGGGCTGAAGTTGTACATACAGTAAGCCTGGTTGTGGTAGCTTATATTGATGCTAGATTGTGGTTGCTGAAGGGGGAACAGATGACGAGGAGAAGTATTTTTCTGCCGTGTGTTTCATGTACAGCAGAGTCCGGGGAGGAAAGTTCATACAGACCAGACCAGTGATGTCCTGGAGGGCTTTGGGGGCATGCTACAGCCTATGACCATCTGCTGTTGGGAGATTCCAGTCACAGGTTGTGTGCTGGTAAAAAATTGGCATGGCTGAGGAGATAGAAGTTAAGGAGTGCTCAGGAGGTGCACAGGAGATGGAAGTTGCATGAATTGCAGCTACAGTATGCTTAGATAGAGCCTGGAGGTGCCCAGGTGATGCCCAGGTACTTGGGTAACACTGAGTGTGCAGGAACAATGTGTACACATGGCAGGTAGTACTCAGTCTGTGCTGAAATATATTGTGCTGTCAAGAAAGATTTCCTGAGACTGAGAACCCAGTAAAGAAGTATTAATGGGCTTATCTTTGGGAAATGGTATTTCTATACTATTTCACACAAAGCTGGCACAATGTGTGCTCTAACTGGTCAGTTGCACATTACTAGAGGCCAGATTTGTAAATGAAAAGGACATACTTGTATGTGCACATCAAATACTTCATTCAAATAATGTGTAGTCCTTGGCTTTGTTATGAGGTTTATTCTTTAAATAGACATTCAAACACAACCACATCTTGGGCTGCCTACTACAGGGCTTTCAGATTCCAGATTGGTCCTGTATTTGTCAAAGAGGTGCCAGAATGTGTTACTGCTTTGCATCTGGCACATCTAGTATTTAGGAGGTACTAAGGTGCTTACTGTATGTATTAAAACGGTATTTTTTAATAAACATTTTTCAATTGCATTTAAGGTTTGCATGTATAATTACAGTATATCTGAACAGTGTCTGTATTTATTAACTGCATTGATGCTGAACATAAACTGCTATCTTGGGGGATGGCTATCATTCCAATGAGCAACAAATGTAATAGTTGAAACATCTCCAGTAGCTAAAAAAGTTAAATAGTTTAAGTCATGACGTATCTAAAATTGCCTGGGAGCTACAGTATAATGCCATTTTCGTGAACTGATTTTGAGATTATTTAAATTATTTTCTACACACGTCATACACAGACACAGACAGACAGATGTGTGGATGTTATACACATCTAGAGATGCGAAAAGTCACAGTACAGTTCAGTGGCAGTTTGAATTTTGTGAGAAAGAAGGCCTTTTTAAGGGAACACTAAAGATGATGCACATAATGTGTACAGTATCTCCACAATGCCCTTCCCATGAGCAGTGTTACAGAGAGTTTTATAGACTGAGCACAGCTATGGTCTGCCCCATTTTAATACCGTGAATGAGTGTTTATGACTGACCATTACCTGCATGTTAGAACCATAGAAAATACATATGAAATTATGGGCATTCCAGATAATGTTATCTCTGCTTTTCTGTTATTTCTGAAGTGTCACGTACAACAGGTGTTTAAAATGCACGCAAGCAGAGGAAAGATCCCAGACCAGGATCAGATTTCTACACACAAAGCAACAATAATGCTTCTGTAATTCCCAGAGGGCAAATCTTATCTACAGAGCAAATTAATGGCCTCAGAAGAATAATTTTCTTTCTTTTTATTATTGATTAGCTACTTTAAATATTGGAAAATATACATATTCTCCTTATTGTGTGAATGATTGTGTTTCAATGTGAAGGTTTACATTGCCACATTTTTGGGACAGTTGTACAAAACTGTACAATATTGTATTTTGTACAGTTTACAACGTGTTTAGGTCATTTTTTATTAAACACTGTTTGGCAAGTTGCATTTCTAGTAATTGTATTTTGTGTTATTCTGTTTTTATATATTTTTTATAAATATACAAATATTTTATAAATACAAATGTAAATGTTTTATAAATATAGTCTAAATACTGTATATACGTACAAAGCAATAGGTTCATTCTATGCTGAAAGGCAAAGAAAATAAACTCAGTGTTTTGGCTTGAATAAATATATGGTGCATACACAGTGTTTATATATTTATCGCCCTACTCCATTGCAAGTTGGCATTGTTTTGCTTAAAGGTGTCACAGTTTGACATTGCCCAACAAGTTCAACAGTACACATGTCTGTTGTCTGTGCAGTTAAAGTACACATTTTTCCGCTGTTAAAATTTCAATTCATTGGACTCCTGTTGCTGTCACTGCTGCACCTTTTTAACATGCTCCGAAGCCGTTTGTTTCAGCAGAGCACTTTAACAAAATTTAAGAGGAATTACATTATTTAACAACTTTTCTGTGTGCATGTGTCAAAGTAGCAGGCAGTCTTGTTCATAGTACATAAGAATACATTTCTGCAGAAGAAAGAAAATGTAAACAGTGTCTGGTATGTATTATTCTTTAATGATAACCAGTGCTAGCTCACTATTGAGCTTCAACAGGGAAAGTGTTTTTTTTTTCATTTAGCTGGAAGTTTTACAGTAACTCATTTTCCAGGTATTGATGGACGTTCTGCATACCTGTATTGGGACACAAATAAACTTTGGCTTGTTTTCAGACTACAGAGTTTGTTTTAATTTCAGTAATGATTAATGGTAGACTTTTGGCTTTATGGATGTATAGAGAGGCACTAATGATGTGAATTGTGCAGAGCATCTAAGTGTCAATTAGATACAATTGGTAAATGTTGATGGTTTGGCACCTGCTACTGCAACCCACTAGCAGTTAGAAAAAGGATGGATGAATGTTGATGGATAAGCTACTGGAAAACTCCATTTTATCTACAGTACATTTGTTGAGATGTTCTGATCAAGTTTTTGAAAATTCTGGTCAATGCAAATTAAAGATAACTAATTAAGAAGCTGGGGTTCTTTTCATCCAAAGTAAGCTGTATTCACAACAATCAGTTGTTACTATAGTAGAACACCAGTGGAAGTTTTGAGTAAATTGTTGAGGCCCATAACATATATTGTATTTCCTGATTGTGTCTAGGATA